CCAGGACCTGCCGCGTGGTAAGACCACGTTGACCCGGGAACGGGCCACGTGGGTAATCCGCGTGCGCGCGATTGGACGGCCCAGATTTAATCAAAATGGATGGCTGTGATCAAAAGGCAAAAGGGTATAAATAAAACCCCCACACCTGACCACAAAAACCCTAGCCGCCTGCCCTCGCCGGAGAAGACGAACCAGACGCCAGAGGAGCCGGCCGCCGCCACCCGCCGCCGCACCGGGGAGTTTTCCAACTGCCGATCGAGGTAAATTTCATACCCCCAGCTCGTTTTTCCACGCTGAGTTTCCCTGTAGCCAAATCGGAGCCAAAATCCAGGCCAAACGGCCGGAAAACACGGCCAAAACTCAGCGGCGCCGCCCCACCCCTCCTCAGTTTTTGCCTCCGATGAGGCCCTTCACGGCCTCCGTTTGATACAATTTTTATATCACCGTGATCACCATTCTTTTCTCTACAGGTTGATCGGAGCCAAATCACCAAAACACGAACCTCGCCGGAGAGCCGCCGCACCCGAGAGCACCGCCGCTGGTAAGCTTCGGTTTTTCGTAATTTTTTGGCCCTCCAAGGGCCCTAGGGTTTTTTTATCGCAGGGACCGATGCAAGTATGGCCGAATTCGGCCGAAAACGGCCAACCCGAGGCGAATCGCCGCCGCAAGCGGCGGCGCCGTCGCTGGAGCACGGCGAAGCCGCCGTGCCGGAATTGCGATATTGGCCGAAAGGGGCCCTGGGTCTAATTTGAGATTTTTTGGAACATGTGCAGGTACCAGTAGTGCGTTTTAGTTCCCCGAAAAAAATTCAGGGGAAAATTAGGGACAGCTTGTAGGCGCACTGTAGAGCCGTATTCGGACTCCGAAACAAGTAAGGACCCCTCACCCTATTTCCTATCACGTATTAAAGTTCAATAAATGATAAAACGGTATTTCATGAATCAACAGATGTGTGAAATTGTTTAAGGTCGCTAATGGAGCTCGAGTCTGGTGTGTTTGTCGGTTAGCTGTTGTTTGGCCTATTTTACGGTTTAAATGCAGTATGAGGTCTGATGTTTTCATTTCATAGTTTCGTGTGCATATATACTGTTTTATGATATGGGTGAATGACTGAGAACCCGATGTTGTATGTTGTCTTGTTTGACATAAAATACTAGTTTGCTTGTTTGTGTGTGAATTGATGGTGCTAACTGAGGAAAAGGGGAATGAAAGGTTATGTAAATAGATAATTGTATAATGTGGTCAGCCTGACTAGATATCCTGGGAGATGGTGGACGGACCGGGTCCGTAGGGAACCCTACCGGGATTGTGGTCTCTCATACCGAACGGGATATGGAGACCTTATGTGTTTTGGCGCCCATACCGGACGGGGTATGGGGACGGCCCGTTTCACCCTCATACCGGACGGGGTATTGAGGTTTATAGTTTTGGTGTCCATACCGGACGGGGTATGGGGACGGCCCTGGAATCTGATTACAAGTGTTAAGGGTTCACGGGTAGCGGGACCCCTATGGATCCCCATGGATACTAGTAGGCTGGTAAATGAGGAAAAATATATTGTGTAATGATTGAATTACAAAAGGCGTGATAAGTATTATGTTATACAGTTCATATGATTTTACGATGATGATAATGTTATTGCTTTCGTATATTGTTTTATGAATTTCATCGAGGTAAGTGGATAGTAAAGGATTTTATTATTGATAAAAGAATTTGTGGTAAATTATGCTCCATTGGTCTTTTTGTGTTTTCTACCCACCTTTACCTCCGTGACGGTGAGCTAGTGTGATGTCTTTACTGGGCTGGTGTAGCTCATTCCTTATTTAATCATTTTAGATCAGGAAGACATTGTTCCCGAGCCCGTTTCGCAGGAAGACGGCGAAGGGGACGCCTGAAGACTCTGTAGTTATATTTATAGCTTTTATTTTCAAGTTTCTCTTTTAGTTAGTTTGTTCTTTTATATTTTGAGTACGTTTTTAGTTTTAGTGTAAGGGATGTTAATCAAAATTTTTATTACACTTCCGGATTTGACCTTTTTAAATACACATATTTCATTATAAAATTCCGGGGCCGTTACAACCGTGACGATGAAGTATTGAGACTTATGTTTTGAGAGAAGGAAAGCAAGAGAAAATGAGAGAAAGTATGATTTCTATTTTTTTAAATAATCTAAAAAATATTAAATTTTTTTTTATCACATATGATGTTACGTAACACAACAAATAACATTTTATATAAAAAATTAACCAATCAAATAATGACACGCATCTAAACAAGTGACACATGACATAATTTTGTGTAATGATCATTGAGGGAGATGGACTAATTCAAATATTTTCTGAAAGCACGTGAGCCAATTTAATGCAAATTTGAGGTAAGAAAGAATTACAATTTATACCAAGTATTGCCACAATTTTTTTTTGAAGTAAAAGAAGTTGTATTAAAAGATTTGTACTAAGGGGATACCACTAATTTACATAGCATTTACATCTCTATCAAATGATCAACCACCATTCTAATTTTGTCTACATCAGAAATATCATAACCCAACAATAGAAAATCAAAAGTATAAATCCATCTATATATAATACAATTGAAATCTTTTTTAATCCCCTCGAAAGCTCTTGAATTTCTTTCTTTCCATACTACCCATAAAACCAATAATGGAATAACCATAAAGCTATTTCTTTTTTTGCACAAACCAATCCATGCCCATATTTTAGCTTTCACGAAACCTATTATTGCCCAATTTATTCCTAAAAGTCCATAAATCATTGTCCATAACTTTTAAGTCAACGGGCACCATAGAACAAATGATTACATCATTACTCATTAGTTTTGCACATGAAATAGTGGTTAACCGTGCATCTACCCCTCATCAACATATTTATGGTTAAAATACTTTCTCGATAAGCTTCCCATGCAAAAAAAGCCATTCTTTGCGGTACTTTTGACTTCCATATTTGCCTATGTGGAAAATCAGTCCCGTGAATCCTTGTTTCTCCTTCAAGCTGTTGATAAAATGATTTTACAATAAATACCCCACTTTTTTCTGGCATCCATTGTTTAAAATCCTCTTGTTGACCCATTTTTGCTTGAGATACCATAATGATTAATTGTTGAAACTCATCTATATCCCAATCATTCAAATTTCTTTTAACTTGCACATCCCAAAATTTATATTCCCTATCCCCTAAATAAGCCTCCTTAATTTTCATGTTCCTTTATTGTGCGATCTCATAAATTCTTGAGGAGCTGTCTTTTAATTTAAGTTTCCAGCCCATTCACGTTACCAGAATCATATTTTTTTCACCATTTTCTATACACCAATTTGTGCATGCTGAAAAATCCTTGCAGCCTACTTGAATTTTCATTCACAGACTTCTGTTATGGTTCCCACCCACCTGTCTCCTGCCAATCCTCCTTTTTCTATTACCCCACCTTGACTTTACCACCTTACCTCCATAATCTATCTCCTTTCCTTTCCTTTCTCCATAGCCACTTTCTTAATAAAGCTTTATTCATTTTCATCATTGATCTTAGCCCCAAATC